ACAGTTCCTAATCTCAAAATAGAGTCAGGCTAGTCCATCAGTGGCTCAAATAAACAATCCACCCTAATTCTAAAATTTGTACAATATCTGCAATGTTGAAAGGGAAGCTGGATAAATTTTTCCATCTAATCTAAGATATACAATAAAGCCACAGTAATCAAAACGATGTGGCATTGGTGAAATAATAGACAAATGCTCAATAAACAAAACACAAAGTTTGGGACTGAACTTCCATAAGTATATTAAACAGAGTTTTGACAATAGTGCTAAAAGAACTGAATACCCTTATACAGAAACAAAAACAACAACAGCAAAAAGCACAAAGAACAGGCACAGAGCCACAAAGGTAAAAATGAAGCAGAGTGTTCTCTGAGGCCAGCACAGTGCACATTAGGAAAGATGCGGGCAGACATTGAGAATGGAGGTGGAGGAGGTACAGTGCCCAGCAGATAAGAGCTCCTACTGTTCTTCCAGAGGACCTGAGTAGTTCTCACAACCAACGTCAGGAGGCTCATAACCCACTGTAACCTCAGCTCCAGGGTCTTCTGCCCTTTTCTGGTTCCTGTAGGCATTGCACTCATGGGCACAAACTCATACAGAGACATACACATAGAAAAAATAAAACTGAATTTTTGTTATTGTTGTTGTTGTTGTTGTTGTTGTTGTTGTTTTGAGATAGGGTTTCTTTGTGTAACAGCCCTGGCTGTCCTGGGACTCACTTTGTAGACCAGGCTAGCCTCAAACTCACATAGATCCATCTGTCTCTGTCTCCCAAATGCTGGGGTTAAAGGCATATGCCACCACTGCCTGGCCTAAATGTTTTTAATTGGTCACAGACCTTATTTTTTTTAAAAGAAAATTAACTCATTGGATGGTGGTGGTGCACACCTTTAATCCTAGAACTTGAGAGGCAGAGATTGCCAAGTCGGTCTACAAGAGCTAGTTCCAGGACAGGCTCTAAAGCTACAGAGAAACGCTGTCTTGAAAAACAAAGACAAAAAACCTCAAAATGCATAAAAAATATAAATGTGAAACAAAACAAAACCATGTAAATTTCTTGAAAGTAATATATAGGAGATACTCAAGTGATATAGGACTTAGAGAGTCACCATTTAGATAAGACACTGAAAGCAGTGAGGATGCCTAAGAGAGACGCTTGACAATTTTGGTGGTCATTAAAGTAAAAATCTGGGGGCTGGGAAAACGGCTCAGCAGTTAAGAGGACCCAGGTCAAATTCCCAGAACGCAAATGGAGGTTCACAACCATCTGTAACTCCAGTTCCAGGGGTTCTGATATTCTCTTCTGGCCTTCACAGACACGAGGCACGCATGTGATGCGCAGACATAACACAGGCAAAACACTCAGTGCATGTGATGCGCAGACATGACGCAGGTAAAACACTCAGTGCATAAAATAGTTTTTAAAAAATTTGAGAGGGCCCTCAATGTATCAGCCACCTAAGAGAATAACTGACTCTCTCTGCAGGCTTTGTACAGCCAGTATGACAAGGGTCTTACATAAAAGTGTGTGTGTGTGTGTGTGTGTGTGTGTGTGTGTGTGTGTGTGATTGTGCACGGGCACATGTATGCAGGTGTGTGTAAGTCAGTATGACAAGTGTCGCACATAAAAGTGTATGTGTGTATGATTGTGCATGGGTACCCATGCATGTGTAGCATGCATATGTATGAGTATGCATGAGTATGTGTATGAGTGTGTGCATGTGTGTGTGTGTCTTTCCCTATCAATCTCCACTTTAGTTTCTAGTCAGGGTCTCTTACTAAGCTTGGACCTCGCAGATTCAGCTAGACTGGGCTGGTCATTGAGCCCCAGGACCGTCTTGCTCCACTTTGCAGTGCTAGCATGCTGCAACATGCAGTTCTTGCAGATTCTATGTATGTATATTGTGTTTACAACACCCCTCCCTCCAACTCCTCCCATGTCCCTCTCCCTCTGTAACTCATGGCCTCCTTTGGTTTAGTTGTTACTGTTACACACACACACACACACATGAATTAATATGTAAACTCAACTTGCTGAGTCAATTTAGTGTTGTTTATGTGTTTTGCTTTTAGGGGCGGTCACTTGGAGTGTTGGACAAGCAACAAGGGGACTCACTGCTTCTCCCTCTCTCAGGAGGCATTATTTGCCCATACGTCCTCATCTGGAATGGGGTCTGGTAAGGTTTTGGCTATTCACACGGGCACTGAGTGACATAACTCAGACCCAGGAAGACAAAGACTGCGTTGAGAAATAGTGAAGGAGAGGGAGAGAAGAGAAATAAGCAGCACTGAGTCTGTTTGGAAAAGCTGCAGGGCATATCACTTTGTGTTTACCTAAGACTACATGTAATATATAGGTGTGTGGGTATGCATATGTATAGGGAC